TAAATTATTGGTGAGAGCACATGAGACCACACGTCCTTGTGAGAGGCAAACATCAGCACTGCTTTACTCAAAGCAAAGCCCCCAAAACAAAACACGACAATCGTGATCTGAACCAGTCAGGAGGCTGGACTGACAGGATAAAACAGAATAATCAGTGCTCCTATTGGTCATCACAGAAAATCTCACAACGTACAACTGCATCAGAAAACAGATACAAGCCTTGCTACTGTAGAGGTCTCACCACAACATAATTACACATCTGCATAAATGATCGTACTCCACTTCCACTCTGGTTTTCTTCTTTTCATTTTTCCCATGGAAGCCAAGACGGGATGACTCATAGCTGTTTGGCAGCAGCTCAGGGGAAGCTGGAATTTGATCCACATTAGATTCGTGTAGCTATACTGGAATTCTGGTTACTATTCACAGTCCGTCTGTCGTAGCGTGGAAGTGCAAAAGCAGGTTATGTCACCACTTTTGGAATTTCTTTTATCTCTGCGTGGACTTCTCAGTTTCTGAGTTATGGCTGGAGATGTCCACTGAGTAATCTGAATGTGCGTTATGTGAACAAAAACTTTTTTCCACATGCCACACATTTCAGGGCTGAATATCATTATTATATCAAGGTGAGGATATTTGCTGACATCTCGTTACTGCTCAACATGTGCCAGCAGACAGAACGACTGACAGGAAATGACACGGCAATGCTGGACAAAAGCCTTTTTCACGTGTCTCTTCATACACGTCACAGGGTTTCTCAACATGGGAACGTTTGGGAACAGAGCCCAGTGACACAGTAGTTACTGGACGTGATAGCAGCTCTAGTCCAGCAGCAGCGTTCAGTAGGAGCAAAAGAGGAGGATGTGAACCCTGCTTGGCAGGTTCTAATTAACCTATGATTCAGGTTTTGAGAGAAAAAGAAGGGAATCAATTTAAGAAAAGAAAAATAGTTGGTGAAACACACCACGAGCCTCTTTCAGCCGTATCCACCACTGTTAGAAAAGAGAGAATTTGCTCCACTGATGACGTCTTTCGTAAAAGGCTCAGGGTCATTTAAGGACCCAGCAACTATAATTAGCCACTAAAGCTCTGGTTTTACTTTTATCTACATGAAACATGTTACTATAAATCTAGATTACTGCTCTTCTCCAGACGTTGCTTTAGTCCTTAATAAGCCCATAAACATCTTAGCTGCTTATCTGCATCCATGTGCTTAAAGTTAAAAAGAGTACGTGCGTCCTGCATCCGTTTGACTAACACATATTCTCACAGCGCCCGCCCACTCTTTCTACCTGTCACCCAAGGATGCTGCATCATGACCTCAGCCACCTACAGACACACAGCGCTCAGTCTGTAGTTCTCTACTTTGATTTAGATGCTTTGCCGCTGCTCAACATCCTGTACGCCCCTGCACAAGTGCCGAGGTCCCATCTGAGAAGTGAAACAGAGAGCTGCACCATCTGTGAGAAACACTCCCCCCACCCCACCACCACCACGCTGCACACATGTGACTGACTGCACAGCTCGTGTGGCTGCAAACGGCTCACCAGGACTGCACATGAGACGAGCTGACCTCCTTTACAGTCCTTCACTTTGACTCTCACTCCTGTGTTTATCTCCAGGGAGCATCTCAAAAACACACCCGATGACGCCGTGATGCAGTGGTTAGCGCTGTCACGTCACAGAAACAAGGTTGTGGGTTTGATTCTGTAGGCTGGTGCCTTTGTGTGGCATTTGCATGTTCGCCCTGCACCTGAATGAGTACTCTCTACTCTGCTGCGGTTGTAGTAAGAGAATTTATGAAAGGACTAGAATTAAAACTAACCGATTGTAGCCTTCACACAAAACTGTGCCTCGTGCACACAATGCACCGAAACGACAGGCGCTTCTACACTGCAGCTGGAAGCCAACAAGCTGGTGGAAAAAAAGGTGGCATACAAGGGGAAGTTGATGCTGCAGGCAGATACGTTCACAGGTGGGGGTGTGAGAACACGTTTTCAAGGAATAGTTTCCAGCACTGAGTGCACAGAAGACAAAGGAGGGCAAAAATATTTATATTTCACCTAAATATTTCTCCGAGCCTCCCGTCACTGAGACGGCGACACTCCGTTTGGTTCAGGGACATGAAACAAGCGGTTGAGACGGCATTTAGATGATCCTGGAGCATGTCGGCGGGACTGACGTGTAGACGACTCTCAGTTCCCCATGTGGTCCTTAGTGAAACTGAGCCTGACACCCCCGTTTCATTTCATTTCATTTTTACTTTTTATTTGTCATGAACCACAAACGAGAGCGCGGATCTCAGCAGATACGAGACACCTCGTACCAAATTTAGCTCCTAGTAAAAGAAACTAATACAAACAATATCCAAGTTAAAAGTACAAAGTTCATATAAAATCGGGAAAGTCTCCCAGCCCACCCCACTAACAGCACATACACATTATACAGTCTTTATGCACGCCTGCACATCCAGTTCAGTAACACTGTGCCACCATTAAACGGTATAAGCACAGCATAAAGATCCAAAGGACGATGATTTAACAGGAGACAACTCATGGTGGTTTGATTACTGTTGCATGGGTGGATTCATTGGTTTACACTGTGCAGGGGCCCCAAAACCAGTTAAGCCAGCCTTGCTATCTTAAAGGATAAAACCATGGAAAAAGTAATTGTCAAAAAGCCAGAGGAGATGATGCAGCTCACAACACGCTGCCACAATCTTAACCGTCAGACAGACACAAATACAGTGCAAGTCCGTGCTCGCTCTACATACAGATAACAACACTGTAAGCCACTGACGGCCATGGAGCATAAATCTCTGCCACATGATGATCTCACTGAGTGAGACTGACTGATTTATTATCAGCACTGCTTTAACTGCACAGACTGAAGTTTGAGCCGCTTTGGTTTCCTTCTGATTTACAGGTGCGATCAAAACAAGGCGCCAGTGAAAACACTCTGATTCCCCCGACTTCAATCTTTAAACTGACCAGACAGGATTCAGCATTCACTCAATGCTACAGACACATTTCAGTGTCTGTTAGAAAGCAGTGAGCTTTAACTTCCAGCCCTGAGACAGAAGAAAGAGTGTTTACCTCCAGGCTCCAGCAGAACAGCACGTGTGTTCTTCTGAAAAGAAGCACTATTACGACATTCTGGGAAAAACACTGAAAAAGCTGCCATTTGCTGATGCAACTTCCTGCTGATCTCTGCACAACTGCAACACGTCCCAAATCCTCACAGTACTCCTAGACAGCTGTTCGAGCCAAAACCACAACACGCTGAAATGACGAATCCACTCTGGTTCCACTAATTGAGCCCTTACCGTATATACACCAAATATAACTCCTGTTCTCAGGGTGTTTACAGCAGCAAGCTGACAAAGATAATGAGCTCCGCTGACTAAGTGCTAAGTGCTGTATGAATAGACTCGATTCTGCGGCTCTAATTCTAAACCTCTCTATTAAAGCACGTGTCTAAGTGCTGCAGTATAAACAGTATTTGGGTTTAACAGTAACAGTAACTGGTGTTAGTCCTCTGACAGCTCTTATAATGCTTGTTTGAGTGTGAAGGTGTGTATTTCTTGTCTTATGCACTACAGCAATGTGACCACATTCACATCTTCCAGCTGTTTAACTTCCAGCTGTGTAAGTGGGGTATGCACACATTTTTACAGTAATCCGTAAGCAGTAATTCAATTTCTCTTCTCAAGTTATACAAATACAAATCAGACAGAAGAAGGCATGCCTCTTCAGACGCTTGAAACACTGAGTGATGTCACTTCCTGTAGGAAAAGTTGCTATTCCAGCATTAGCAGCAGCTGCTTTTACACCAAAGCAAACCATGACAAAGAAACACAGCTCATCACAGATGGAGGCTGACAATTACCACAACAGAGCACGAAGCGTTTCACTGATACTGTCCTCATCTATAGTGAAGAGCTTAGCACTTTATGCACTTTAGCTCCTTTAAGTGTGCGACTGTACATGGTCTGTGTGGGTCAGAAAGAAGTGTTAGTCAGTCGGGGTTAATGGTACGACGCCGCACCTTTACTAGGATAACTGCAAATGTAAGCAAGGTAACGCTGCGTTACGTCCGGACATAAATCCCACATTCACTGAATTTCTATACAGTTCTTCTGATCTGGTCTATTTGACCCTGTTAGCATAAGCTGTGACCTTTTATGGAAGTTCAGACTAGTCAGGAGAATGTGAAAACTAGTAAACTTTACCTCCTGAGCCGTAAACTACAGACTTCAGCACATCTGTCCTTTGAAACAAAGGTCTTCCATTCCTTACTCTGAGCTGGGGAGTTTCTTGTAACGTCTAAAGTTATGCAGTTACTTAAGAGAGCGTGATACTTCACTGGTTGCATTGTGCTCACACACACACAGCATGCATGTGTCTAAGTTCATTCAGTGACTCAGTAAACGCAGTTTGAAAATCTGAGGAGTTTTTCATGCTTTTCCACATTTCTGCACAGATTGAACTTGTGCAGTTATCATTACTGATACAAGTCATGGACACAACAATTACAAAACACAAGACTGGTGTTATGAACCAGCAGAAAGGCAGTAAGATAGCAGGCTTACTTTGTATTTTCAATATGGATATATTATCTTACTTTATTTTTAACATCTAACAAATGGTATCAGTATTAAAACTGAGGGCAGTATCTTTAAAGTCTTGTTTTGCTAAGTCTCAAATAGCCATTAACAGAAGTAAACTGTTGGAAAAGCAGTAAAGCCTCTTTGTGTGGCACTGGAATCTGCACACACTGCACATTTGCTCGCTCTTCCCTAAAACATTACTATGACTAGTTTGCAAAGATATCAGCCAGTCCTTTAACCCGATGTCAGATGTGCTTCAACTTTAAGGCTGGCATACAGTCCACCACACTGGGCTGTATTCAGTGGAGGAAATATTGTGTATCAGTATCTGCATGTTACTGCTAAACACAGCAGTTATTTGATCCCTACAAACTCATATTACGTAAGCCGGCCAGCTGACACCGAGGCACAAGCAACTCTCCAGAGCTCCAGCACACCTCATGCAGCTTTCCGAGGCAGGTAACGTGTCACCATCTTCGTTTATGAAACATAATTACCAACGTAACGCAGGTCTTCATTAAGAGAAATGGCTGTGTGTTGAAGCTTCCTGCAGCACTGAGTCACAGCTGCCTTGCTCAAGCTTCCCCATGTGATATTAATATAGTTGCTGTTCCCCAGCGCTTTGGCGGCCCACCAGCTTTCAAGAAGCCAGAGTATGTAAGATAGGCTTGGGTGTGGATGTTTGTATACACATGTGAATCAAAAGCAGCACTGGGCAGCTATCAAAGTTCCAGTTTCAGCATAATAGTAAGTATTGTGGGGACAGACAGGGTGGAGCTTTTTCACCCAACCCACAGTGACTTGGAGAGAAGGATGTTCAGCTGGTGCTTCGTCTAATATATGGATGAACTGTTGTGCATGGACACAGGCTGCTGCGGTCTTCGCTCTGCCGGTGGTCTCAATGTTGATGCTCAAACTACCCACGCGTGACAACATGGAATCAGCAGCACACAACTCAGTTTGCGACACAAAGTGGTTGCAGGCACGCCTCCAGGGTGTCCTGATCACTCGGGCCAGACTTGAGGAAACTATTTGAATGCCACAGAAATAATGTAAACGACGTGCAGCCGTCCCACGCACCTACACAGTCACAGCGCTGCTGTAACGTCCTGTTTCTCCATCGACGTTTGAGACTACTGTCTGTCTGCGCTAACGTGTGACTGAACAAAACATGGAGAAATGTTGAAAAGCCCAGAATTAAGCAGCAAAAATTCTTTGAAAGTCAGAGCGGATGTTCCGCCGACCATCCGCTTGCAATAAAAGACAGCAAAGAATGCGGCGACGAGCGCTGCCAAGAAAAACTGCATCTAAGTGTTCAGTTACGAAGTTTTGGTGTGACTGAAAGCCTCCGAACAAAGCTCGAGGTTTAACGCGTTTGTTAAACTGTGTAAAGCGTGTGTGGTGCGGTGTATGCTAGTTTTGTCCAAAGATTGCCATCTTTGAAGCTGTTTGACAGCGTTCCTTTGAGAGCGATGCGATTATCTGATCCGAGCACGGACAGTGAAGTTTCCACGGCTAATGCTGTCAGTAAAAACACAAAGGACCACTGTCGCTGCTGCACTCACCCAGACTGTTGGTAGAGGAATCCATAATCCCAGGTTTAGACGGCGGCTCCTGTTTTTAGAGGAGCAGCGTGCACTAAGGTGTGTTTTCCATGCTGACAGAGGAGAATCACAGCCCACACTCTGGAGACTTGAGTCGATGACAGGTCTAAGAATACCGGAAACGCGGAATTTTCCGCAACATAAAGCGCAATAGTTTATTAAACGCGCGGGTGCGTGGGTGAGTGTGTGTGTGTGAGGGGGGAGTACTTATAAGGAAATCAAGCTTAAATATAAAATATAGTTCGAAATTACTTTATATAAAATGAAAAACTAAAAACAATCACACCACAGACTGAAAACCGCTTCCGGAAGTGTAGCCCCTCGTTATAGCTAGCTTGACACTATTGGCGGGAAGGCACCGGGTACGGCTAAAAGTGCTGCCAGATATTCGCCTCAGTCAGACTGCGTCAGGAAGGAGGATTTCAGTGTCCGTAAACCAGAACATCTCACGGAACTCTTAAAGCAGCTTCTTACGGCTGCACCTCTGCAGCCTGGCAGCTACAGGACGAGCATTTGTTTCCATCTCGTGGCGGCGGTGCGCACTACAAGCCCTGAAACCTGTGCCAGAAAGTGACTGCCTGCATTCAAACTGCTATAAATAACTTGTTGGCCTATAAGAAATGAAACGTATATCAAATGCATCCCTCACGAACGATATCCAGTCATCCTGACCACGCACAATATTCCTGTCACAAGGTAGAAGCTGCAATTAGTTTTTGGTAAAGTGAAGTGGTCACCGTAAATTATACTGCACGACAAAGGATAAAAAAATAGTTAGCTTTCTCTTTTCTCAACTTTTGTTTAATAGTTTGAAGAATCATAGCTACAGCGCGAAGAATGGCATTGATTTAGAAATCATTTTCCTGCATTTTAATGGAGAATATTTACTGCGCTTATTTGCGGTTTTACGGAACTATCATTTCTGTCACTGTTTCTATTGTTTGGGGGAAGCAAACGCGTGTCGGACCGGAATGCTGTACTGGCCTTTGAACATGGTAGCGTCCGTTGACAGCGCCTTCTTGTCCGATTGTCGGCATTAAAGGTCAGTATTAACATGGTTATACATGTTGGGGTGATAATAATAACTATCATTACTACTACGTTTGAGCAGTTGACGAACTAAACTTCACAAAAATGTGAAATGTAAAGTTTGATCGTTCTGTACAAATATTCACAGCTGGATGAGGTACACCGAAGAGTGAACGTGTGAGCTTCACGTCCGTGTGCACTTCTGTTCTCTGACACTCGCCGTGATGGCTCGACTATGAAGGGCAGCCGCTGCCTGCATCAGCTCAAGTCTCTGCGGCTGCTCAGCCACGCAGGGAGGCGGCTGCCTCCTGCTGCTGCTGCTGCTGGAGACAACGGCGCTCTATTCCGGTTACACTCCTCGAGTCTGCTCGGCGGCTCGCAGTGCCCACAGCGCGAGGTGAGCTTTAGCAGCGACCAGACTTAAGCTCATATACAGCACTGATATAATCGCAGAGAAAGGCAGCTGGCAGTCGACTCTTTGTTTGGTTTTAATCAATAACTAATCAGATCATATGAATGAATCTTTTATATGCGTTCATAACAAAAACATGTTGCTTTTAGGTGTTGAGGCATTTCCACAGCAGCCCAGCGCGCACCAAGAGTCAGCCTGCACGGTTCGTTCAGGAAGAGGACAAGACGAGGGACAAGTCTCTGGTCGCCCACGATGATCTGTTTGAGCAGGTCGCCAAAGAAACCAAAACCAAGGCCACGTTTAACAAAGTGATAGACGTCTACACCAAGAGAGACATAAGGCGTCGAGGTCATGTGGAGTTCATCTATGCTGCTCTGAAGAAGATGCCCGAATTCGGGGTGGAGAAAGACCTCACTGTCTACAACAAGCTGCTGGATGTTTTTCCTAAAGAGGTATTCGTGCCGCAAAACTTTATCCAGAGAATGTTCAACCACTATCCCCGTCAGCAGGAGTGTGGAGTGCAGCTCCTGGAGCAGATGGAGAGTTATGGTGGGTGTCTATAGTATTGTGGTAGTTGTTGAGAATCTTGAGGTGTTCTGTACACTGTTTTTGTGTCTAAGTGTCAGTGTCTGTGCTTCAGGTATCATGCCCAACACTGAGACCAAAGTGCTGCTGGTCCAGATCTTTGGAGAAAAGACCCACCCTATGAGAAAGTACCAGCGTATCATGTACTGGTTCCCCAAGTTCATGCACGCAAACCCCTTTCCTATTCCCAAGCAACTCCCTGAAGACCCAGTAGACCTGGCACGCTTCAGCCTCACACGCATGGCAAACGACTGGGATGCAAAAGTGACCGTCTACCAGGTATATGCATGGATTAGCCTAGCTTAGCATGAAGACTGGAAACAAGGGGAACAGCTAGCCTGGCTTTGTTCTTTAAAAGAATAACAAAAGTAACTCTAAAATCTTTAAAGCTAATACGCTGAATGTTTCAGACCCGAGTCTGGAAACCCCTTTTCCACAGCTGTCAACCACAGACTCGTGTTCCACATTTCTTAAGCTTTTAAACTGAGCTTATAGAAAGTGGAGAAAAAACTCCACATGATTGCGAGTACAAGTTTTTGTGTTACAGTCATTTAGTTTCTCAGGTCTAACTAAGACAAACTTGTGTGTAAAAATCGTTTGACTGACTTTGTGTTTTGTCATCAGATGTAAATCTTGTATTTACCAAACTGTGTGTGCTCTCCTCACAAGCTGCCCTGCACAGACATCACAGACAGCGGTGCTGAAGTCACACTTCCACATATAGTAGGTATGGATGACTTGAAACTACATTCTGTGTCTTAGTCTGAAATATATTGTTAAAAATACTAATAATGGCATCATTTCCATATTTGTTGTTTGTTTTCTTTCTTTCCTGTGTTTGCACCAGGCATCCAGAGCCCCAGCCAGATGGAAGCGCTCGCTAAGCACAACCCGTGCAGGCCCGTGTTCGTGGAGGGCCCGTTCCCTCTGTGGATGAGGAAGACGTGTGTTTACTACTACGTCCTCAGAGCCGACCCTGCCCCACCTGAAGAGAAGGTGGGCAAACATTACTGTTAACCATTACAAATAATAAGTGCTGTGTGATGATCATATAACAGAGTGTTTGAATTCTAATGATTGTGGCTTATAGCTCAGGAAAGTCACAAAACCAGAATCTCAGATTATAGAATATTTCCTAAGATCCATTAAAAACAGGATTTCTAGTACAGAAATGTCCAGCTTGGTGTGTTCATTAATACACTCAGATGTTAGGAATGCAGCCGTTGCAGCTGCTTTCCTGTAGACATCTGTGCATGCTGGTGTTGGGGGAACTGACACCACCCTCACTCCACTCCCTGTGAAGCTCTCCCAGCTTCTTCAGCTGGCTGTGATCTGCAAACAGCCGGCATTTTCTGCAGTGACCGTCTGTGTGTTCCCCTCGTTGTAGACTCTGTATAATGAATGTAGAATATGTGAAACTTTGTGAATTAAATTACAAACAAATCCTCCTCCCTCCCCTCAGATAGAAGAGCCGTATGACCCAGAGAGGTGTTTCATGTATCCTCTGCAGCTAGACCTGGATTTGGACCGCGACCTGGGGGACGATGAGAGCTTCGATGTGGAAGACTGTAAGATATGGCTTCACTGCTGTTGACCACAACCCCTCACTTCCAGGGTGTAACATAGATGATGTGTGTCTGTGTGTCTATCCAGTGGATGACGGTCCAGTCTTTGCCATGTGCATGACCAGTCAGGGGGACCAGGCTACCCTCAATCAGTGGATCTCTGGCCTCCAACAGAGTAACCCCATCCTAGGTCAGATCCCCACGCTGTTCCGACTGGGCGCTGGACCCCGGGAGCTGCAAGGGGTGGGCGACACCGACTCGGCCAGTGGAACCTGGTTTTCTTCACACGCCCATAAAGAAGAAGCAGACCCTGGGGAAGACGCCGAGGCTGTAGTGGAAGAGGAGCCCAGGAGAAGTCAGGGTGTGAAGCAGTGAACAGGAAAAAAGTTTCCTCCTGACTCCCTCCGAACCAGCCGGGAGGCTTTTGTAAATTCTTTTTAGCATATTTAATAAAGCCGTACAAAATAATTACAAACGTATTTATTCAGTCACAAATGTCTCACACCTTTAAAATACAGCAGACTATCTACGGAAGTACTAAGTCTGTATGTGTTCAAATGAAGTCATTGTAGCTGTGGAAATAAACAACGATGAAGTCGAGTTGTTAAAGTAACACAATAAATGTTGACTTCCATTTACAGTTGGACTCTGTTTAACTGTTTTTCACTGCCATTGAAGCTCGACTTGATTTTGGTGAACTTGGTTTTTGCTCCAATGACAACAGCTCGCCGCGCAGACTTCAGTGAGCTCACGCTGTCAGGAGTGTTTGGCTTTACAGTTGTTGTGAAGTTGGAGTTGAGGTCAGACTGCGGAGAAAACAGACTGGCCTCATCGTCTGTGGTCTTTCAGCTGTGGAGTGTCTGGTAGAGTTTCACTAAAACAGTTTTTGATTGTAGTTTTGTTAATTAGCAAAATGTGTTTGTGAAACTGTTATTGCATCTCTTAGTAAAACAAGCTCCTGATGAGGTGCATCATCATGCTCTACATCCAACTGACACGGTTTCTACTTTGTTTTAGAGCTCCATTGCCTTACTGCAGTGCATTGGCAACTTTGAGTTTGCACTGCACACACAAAATTCACCCACAGCTGCCCATCACAGACCCAGGCTGGAGCCACAGTGCACACTTCGGGTGTAAGCTGCCCTACTGGTGCAAGTGCAGCTTCAGTGGATTCAATAAAAACGATACGGTCAATGTGCAAAGCAGGAATTTCTGTGCTTATTAATGTGAAATTCTTAATATTTCTGATCATAATACCACACAAGTGACACAACTGCACTGGAGAAAACCGAGTTTAACAAAAGAGACAAAGGATTCGAATGAACAGTAGAAAAAGTTTATTACTGAAAAGGCATTTAAACGTTCCCTTTTTAAACTGGCAGACAGTCGCGTCTGATTTTCATGAGTGATCTGACCACCACAAGCTCTTTCCACTGCGTTGTGGCTGCACAGACAGTATTCACCTCAGCTTTGTGCTCAAATACAAGAATATTTCAGTGTTGTAGTCTTCATGAAAACCATAGAAAAATCATTGAAAAGCATTCCAGAGCACTTCATCCATTTACTACTTAAGTAGGAAAGCCTTGGATTGATAACATTCACAAATGAAATTCTTTTCTAACACGGAGCTTTCTACAGATATGAATAATGCATCATCAACGATCACTTGCGTAAGAGGAGATTCAATAAATAACAAGGCTGCTCCAAATATTGTGGAACGGCACAGAAAAAGTCACATTTGGCATGTCATATATTAGTCTATTTACAGTGCTGCAGGAGATTTTCGCAGAGGTGACAAACTGTCCCTAAGAAAGTTGTCTCGGTACAAAAAGTTGCCCCCGGAGGAACATGTAAGGATGTGATGCAGTAGCAAATTGCAGCTCAGTTCCAGATGCCCCATTCAGTGCTTGAGAAACTATCAAGGCTCTAGAGCAGACTAACCTGAATACAAGCCTGCAGGAAAATCTGCACACTAGCAGATTCTGTCAGCTTCCAAATAGTAGAAAATGTTGTGCTGATGCTGTTTTTCTACAGCTGACTGATCCCAGGGTTAAATATTAACGTATTGTATAATCAACTATAAATGTCACATTGACAAAAGCCATGGACTGTATCCCACGGCTGCTATCAGTGAACAGGTAGTGTGTCTCTGCACAACTGCAGTGACCCAGTCCTCCAATACAAACGTATTCAGCAAGTGTTCCTCAGTCCGGTGCATTCAGCCCCAGTTTGTGCTCTCAGCAGCTCAGCTAGCAGGTTGCGCCTTTTACTTTCCAGGAGTTTTCAGGAACTTTAAACAATCAATAATATTTTTTAGATTTGGTGCTAAAACACTTCCCACTGTGGAATTCACAGCCTGGACACTGGTGCTAATTTCATGACTGAGCTGAGCTTCTTCTGAGCTACTCATTCTTTTACCCCCATACCACCTATTATCCCGTTTTTCCTTGGAATACCTAAAGTGTTTTCCCAGAATGCTGAAATGTTCACCCCTGCAGAAAATCCACCAAGGCAGAGCAGAGAGGAATGTACAAACTGGCCATGAGTATGCTCCAGCTGGAAAACACAGGTTATATTTTATTATGGCGCCCACAGAGGTCATGTGATCAAAGAAGATATTTGTGCAAGTCTGTGATTGGATCAATAAATTAAGACCAAAAAGCTCAGTGGCCTAATAAACTGATATGTCCAGAATGCCATTAGCTTAGCCTTCCCGGAGTGAAGATTTCCCAAATGTAGTAATGTTTCACTCCAACACTCATCTCAAGGTGCTGTGTTGTAAGAAGCAACAATATTATAGAGAAGTGCAATGATCCCCTCTGAGCAGCAAGAGTGGGGAGGAAGAGCTCCTTTTGAACAGGAGGAAACTTCTGGGAGAAGCAGGAGCAACCGTTTGCTGCAGCTGATTGGTGGATGAGAGAAAAAAGGAGCACAAAAAACAAACACAACAGGAGAAGGACTGACAGCAAATCTCGGATGAAGCAGCTTCAGTATAAAAATGTCCTCACTGCCTTTGATAAACATACACAACCCTGGTAGGAAATGAGGTAAAGCTGCTTTAGGGCCTTCTTTTCCAAGGTGTCTTCCTGCAGAGGTAAACACACTGATAAGAAATAAAATACACGAGAGAAAGGGGGTGGGGTTTGTTTCTCCTGGTCCATGGTCTTCAGCTGCCTCCTGCAGCCGTCTCTTCAGCTCTTCAGTTCTTGTGTGGTTCTGCAAAAGAAGTCAGACAGCGTTGTTATCTGCAGAGAAATGGCTTAGCCTTTGATTGAATTGTTTCACACTGATCGGTGCAGTCAGGCGAGTTTGCACCATCATTGTATATAACTGCTGAGCCAGTGTTGCTACCATTACATTATATGAATATATGAGCCGATTAAAGGATAAACCTCATTGGGGATCAGTCGTACAGATGAGGCTAACAGATGCTCTTCTGCAGCTACTTTTAACTCTGCTGTGTTGCAAAGTCAGGTGACTTAACTACGTGATCCGAGCTCATACTGTACCTGCCACAGGTCTGCTGTGCTGCTGCAGCTGGCTGCTGAAGAAGCGTTCCCGCCGCGACACCTGCTCATCCCAGGCCTCCCGTATTTGCTCTTTCTCGCCGGGCTCCAAGGTTAGGGTGTGTGGGTGGGCCTCGTCAATGTGGGCCTTCACTCCCTCTAGGCTGTGGGAATATTGCAGTTCCCCACACACCATGCACACCAGCAGCTGGTTGAGTGGGTCATAGTCCATGAGGTAGCGGCTCCTCCAGACAGCATCGGAAACAGAATCGTCCTCACTTTCAGCGAACAGCAGCTCTGACTCATCTGAGAAGGCAGAGTTTGTTTTTGGCTACTTTCACCATTTTATGTGCATTCGTTCAAGTTCACAGTGACATACTTTACCTTCGATTGGGGCTGTGTAATCCGAGTATGTGAAGGATGCCGAGTCCACTGAAGAGCTGTGAAGGGAGATTTTTGTGTGTTATCCTGAATGCTGATGATGCTGATATCAAAAGAAAGCGAGCAAAGAAATCTCTCACCTCATTAGATGTTCTGACTCCTCAGAAGAGTTCACCCACTGACCAGGTTCCTAAAGATATTAGACAAAGAGTGAAAAACTAAAGCACAGGCCACGTGCAGTGTTTTTACGTGCTTTCATGAGCTCCCTGAAACAAGGTGAACCTAGACACAAGTCAGACTGGAGAGATGCTTAAACAGAGGTCCTGTAGTTTTGTCACTTTGACATTATTTTGTGTATTTTGTAGTTTCTTTCTGGTGCTTTTGTGTCTTTTAGGTCACCTGATTTACTTACAAACAAAGGCTTTGGCAAAGAACAGGGGCACGAGTGCACCATTTAGTAATCTGTTCCTTTTCTACTGGAGTACTAAATTACTCCTCTGTTTCTGTATCACTGAGAGATCAGTCCTGGGAATGAGGGTATCAGGGTTGTGACAGAAAACCTGCGTTAGTGTCTGACCGATTTTTTTAAGCCTTATTTATGTGGGGAACATACTTGTTGTTGCTGAAAGGACCCGCTTCAATTTTTAAATTAATTAATTATAAGTGTGAGAATTTTAAAATCTACTGGGAACCAACGTAAAGAGAAAGATACTGGTGGTGGACAGTGGTACCCCTCACTCTCCTGGTAGATACAACTATGATACGAATTTCAAAATCCAATGTGACTTCAGAAGATTTTCAGAAAACTTGACCTCTGATGTCTGACGGTGAGGTTGAGGTCATGAGATTTGAACTCATTGAAGGGTTTTAGCAGACACACCTATCAAATCAATTTGAAAGTTCTATGTCGTTTTGTTCTCGAGGCTGTGAGCTTGCTTGCTAGAGCCTGCTACGAGTCTGACTGCAGCATTTTGTAATTGTTTGGAGGCATGACAAAGATGATTTGTCTAAACTGGTAAAAGGGCATCACAACATGTGCAACGACACTAACACAAGAACAATTTGCTCTAGTTCAAAGAACGAGGCTCGCATTTTAGAAATGTTCCTTAAAAGAAAGTAAAAGGAACGTGAGGTACACTTTATATATGAGTCAAAGTTCAGCGAGGAATCAAATACTTCACCGAGATTACGAACGCTGGTCTTTGAAGACGAACAAAAGAAATCAATCACGTGACTGAATGTTAAATGTATTTCAAGTGGAGCTGTAATCATGGCCTCAGTCACTAATCCGGGATAAACAGCCAACCAGGGTGGGCAGCCTATTTGGCTGGTGAGGCTTAAAAGATGGCATAAAAAGGATAAGAAATGCCAAAAAAAGACAGAATGATAAAAGGGAAACATCAGTGGACCCAGGATTGAACCTTGTGGAACCCCTCGAGTTAATCAAGCAGTGTAAGAGGAGAACTAGCACACGCTAACCAAGAAAGTCCTTCCAGATAAATAAGAAGAAAACCAGAAATGCCAGCTAAACCTTGAGCCTATTAAGTATAATATAAATGTCAGTAGTATGTAATATGAATACAATAATCATTACATGCCAGTAAGCTAAAAAAACAAGCTGTTTATGTAACTGTGCAACTCTCACCTCTGTCTGTAGACCTAGGGGAGGCAGCCTAGTCTTCCAGCTGTTGAAGCTTTGGGTGATTCCCTTCTCCCGAACTGCCTTCCTGGCTCTCTGCTCCTTCTTTTTTATCCTCCAGTACTCCCGCTTCCTCCTCAGAAAGTCCTGCTCACTTTCCCCTGGGATGGGCTTTGGAGGAACCATGGTGCTCACTGGTGCCAGCTGGATGGAGGATTGTTTCTTGTGTGGGGGACTCTGAAGGTGAGCAGAGGGGATTTTTAACGGACTTTGACCAAGGGGTTCAATGAGGTGCATGTCAGTACTGGACAGTGGTTTGTCTGGTGGCTTCGCAGCGGTGAGGGCGGGAGCTGAGTCTACATCAGTGCTTCTAGATGCTTGTGAAAGCTGTAGAGATTCAGAAACTCCTGCACAGCTGGATACAGCATGTGAAGGCCCAAGTTTGACGCTGCTGTACTCATTGCTGGTGATAGGCAGTCTGACCTGGAGCGTGCACGCTGACTGTTGAGCATTAGATGTTGTTTGGCTAACAACCAGAACGGTGGGGATGCTGGTCACTGAGTCCAGAGGAGAGACAGGTGGTTTGGGCTGCAGGGCTCGTTTTGCTGGAGGACTCGCCCCTTTAAGACTGTTGATAATAACGAGCCCCGGGGTCTGAAAGAAGAAAATATGACATGAACAAACGGCTTTTCAGAAACTGAGGCAGAGTTTGCTCCTAGCTTTAATGGGCCCCCTTCAGATGAACTCCACTTTGTTTTTCCTGTTCAAATACCATATGCCTGAGAATTGCAGCGATTCAAGCTTCAGCTGGACTGAGTCAAGTCTGAACTGAGTCGACTGCAGAAACCACTTTTATATACATAGAGAAATTTAGGTATGTGAAAAATGCACTCTTTACATGGAGGGCCCCTCTTTTACATAGACACTATGTGCACATGCTGCTAAATACTCAATAGCTTTCATTCATTTAAGTGATGCTTGGGTTTTCTGCCCATTGCACGAGCTAAATACAAAGTTAGGCTGCACTAGTCGGAAATGGTTCATCTGGTAGCACGCGGCAGATTTCAGTGGCCTTAGTCAAGCTTGTCACCTTTGCAATCATCAAATGGAACTCTGTATGCAGATAAAAGGAGGAAGAAAATCAAATGCAGTCTTCTTTACTTTGAGTGTTGAATTTCTGCCACGCTCAGATCCTGAACACAACACGAAAATCTAGGCTTCAAAAGGTAGAAATGCTACATGGGTCAGAGCTAGCACTCATTTTTCAAAAACAGTCACATGTGAAGATGAATCTGATGATGATGCACAGCTGACATCAGGGGCAACCAGCGGGACACAACATACTATCAAATATGATCAATATTAGCTATTAGCTACACACCAAAGCACTGAAACTTCACCTCTTGCAGAAAAAGAGCTCGAGTGCTGCTCGTGTTACCTGAATGCTTCTGGGGAAGAGCCCGCTGCTGCACTCCCCCTCGCCGTCTTTCTGCCTGGCCTTTAACTTGGCCCTCTGCTGCCTCTTCATCAGCTTCCAGTACTCCCTCTTCCTCTGCAAGCTGGTCAAGCCGCTCTGCTCCGTCACCACGCTGTTGTACCTCCGCTTTGATTCGGGGCAGATGTTCTGCTCTTGTGCCTGATGCTGTTCCTGCTGTTCCTGCTGTGGTTGCAGGTTATCCAGCGTCACGGCTGTGATGTGATGCAGCTTTGGTGGCTCTGGAGAGCAGCAGGTTTTATAGCCGGCTTTTTTAGCGCAAAGTCTCTGGGTTCTGCGTGGTGCTTCCATGGAGGTGTTTACTATGTAGTTCAAAGGGGTCTGGGATGAGTGCTCACTGGTATGATGCACACCTAGCTCACTGGAAGCAGGAAGAGGTGGAACTGTCTCACTCACCTGCGATGGGTTCTTGAGTTGAGGGCTTTGTAAACTGGCCTTTGCAGAGACCTTGCTGTCTAGCTCCCAGCTTTTTATCTGCAGAGTGAGGTCAGCAGCAATAGGAGCCGTGTCATCCCTTTCAAAGGACAGCTGAGATAAATTTGGCTTCATGTCTTGCTGTGAAACCTCTTCTATCGTCTCCATTTTAATAGAGTTCTGCTCACTTTTACATTCTGTCACTGTGCTAAGAGATTCTTCCAGGAGCTTCTTCATGGAGGCCACAGCTAGCAGAGTGGCAGTTTGGCTGTCTGCGCTCAGACATGGGTCAGACTCCAGCTGGGGTGCTGGAGGTGGGGAAATAGGGGGTTTGATATCTGGACAGATGGCTTGTTCTGGTGGAGAATTGAGGTCAGCTGCTGGCATGGAGTCACTCTCCTGTTTCATTTCATTTGCACGAGGCAGAAAAAGCACGCTGTTGTTGGAAAGAGGAGGTGCAGTTGCTGTAGTGTCGGTGAGATTTCTAATCTGAGGCACAGTGATCAGCGTCCCCTGCTTCTGAGGCTTCCTCCTTTGTGAGGCTGCACCGGCCCTAGCATGTAAAACACCCTGTCTCAGTCGGACAGCTCGAGCTGCTCTCTGCTCACGCTTCTTTATCCTCCAGTACTCCCTCTTCTTTGCCATCCTCTCCTCCTCCGTCAGCCCCGCATCCAGAGACAGGGCTGACAGCGACGGCGCTCTGCTCGAGATGGTCATTTTCATAACACAACTGCTAACGTTTGAACCTGCTGAATTTTGAGGGCTCTGTGGATGAGTAAGTGTGAGCTGACCCACAGTTTGGATAGCTGATGAGTGCAAATTAGGAACGGTTGTGCTTTTGAGGTGAGTCTGTGGTCTAACTGCGAGCAGTCGCGGCAGTTTGTTGGCTAGCTGTCCAGGAGCAGAGACTTTCACCTGAGCTGAGCAAAGAGGAGGGGGAGCCGGGTTTATCCTGATGGGAGCAACACTTCTCAGTTTAGCGTCAGGCTGACGCTGTTGTTGTGCCAAAGGAGTGTTTGTAGAAACTACACAAAGCTCTACTTGGCTTTTGTCTTCTGCTATGCTGTGACATGCAGAACTGTGAGGGATGTTAGCAGTCAGCGTCCCGTCCTCTTTGATGAATCCTCCGATGGTCTCTGGGCTGTGAGTGAGGGCACTTCCGGTTGACTGCGCCAGCACTCTAGTCTTCCTCATCTCCTCGAGGATCTTCTGGTAACGTTTCACCCTCCTCATCAAAGAATCTCTCTCTTTCAACCGAACCTTTACCTCCATGGACAGCTTAGCTCGCTGTTCGCGCTTTTTGATCCGCCAGTACTCTCTCCGTTTAGCTATTATCTGCTCGGGCGTGTCGTCGGGGTTGATTTTGGGCATATTTCTGGTACCAAAAGCTGAGGGCAGCATTGGGGATTTACACCGTAGACTTCTGTGGTTCATTAAGTTTCTCTGTGCTTCGATGAACCTTTGTCTAGGTGTTTTATATCTCGCGATACCCCGGGTAACACCGCCAAGATGACCGTAACTTGGAACCTTTCCCTGAGAGTCTACTGGTTTTTTCACAGATGGAACATCAGATGTTTGCAGAGCAGTTACAACTACAGTTGCTGTCCCACTTTGCAGTTTATTGTTTTCACTTTTGGCTGATGTAAGTGATGTTTTGACCCGTGTATGACACTGCTTCTGGCTTGCTCCTCTCAAAAGTGACTCTGATGGAAGAACTATGCTTCCCACGTGTCTGGTTTTTGGCGCCGTTAGCCTCTGAAACGTCATCTCTGCACCCTGTGTCCTCTCTCTGGCTTTAGCTAACCTAGCTGCAAGCTTTGCTCGCTGCTCTCGCTTTTTGATCCGCCACTGTTCCCGACGCTTGGCTGCTCTTTCCTCGTCGGACTCCAGAGAAGCTCGTGCATTGCCAACACCTTTAGCCTTCTGTGTGGTGACCAAGGCACGCTTTGTTCCACTCTGAGGTGTTGAGATGGCTCTTTTGCTCTCTGCTTTAGTGGAAGTGGGGCCGCATGGAGAGGACACCAGAACGAGACCTGTGGGTAAGACTTTGGGCTGAGTGGGTAATACAACCGGTGCCTTATGTTGGTTTCTGGGGACTGATGCACCCTGCATAGACACACGTGGCTGAGGTGCTGTTTTACTGGAGCTGCCATTGGTTATTCTGGTCACTCTGACTGGAGGCACTGAGGATACGGTGTTCAGCTGAGTTCCACTGGACACGGGTGAGGACACGGGTGAGGAAACGGTTGCGTCCCTTGCTGTCTGACGTTTACCTGCGGCTGCGTTGCCGCTGGCTGATTTGGCAGAGATAGAACACGACGCTGGCAACTGAGGCAGACGCTTGTTGAGCTTTACTGTCTGGAGCCACTTCTCCTTTTGGCTGTCAGTGGTTTCACGTGACCCCTCCCCCAGAGCATTTCCGTGCTTTGACACAGAATTGTATGAATTATCATTACTCTGCAGAGGAGGTGACGAAGCACCTGATGACTGGGCCAGAGTGGAAGCCTCTTCTGCTGGGGCATTTAGCTGCTTCCCTCCCTGGCTGCTGCTGCTGTGTTTGTGCCTTTCCCTCTCCTCTGACACACGGGCCCGCTGCTCTCGCTTCTTGTTTCTCCAGTACTCTCGCTTTAGGGCGAGCGTGGCATCATCATACTCCGAGGCCGGCCGGTAACGGTGGGACGTTGAGCCACCTTTACCTTTTGCAGTTGGCATCCTGTTGCCAGGCTAGACAGCCCATCGGTTCTCATCCAACAGCAGTGATTGGCCTTGGTAGCCCCTCAGTCCAGGATCCTAACTGTCATTATCAGCATCATCATGTTTCTGAGCACCTCTTATGCTCTCCGACATCACATTGGTGTGCAGATATCCTGAGGAACAGAAAACAGTCTTTGCATTAAAATGTGATGAAAATAAGCTAAAGACTAGTTAATACTTTGTAATAAACATTAAGCAACAGCAAAACGAACACAAGTTGAAGTCACTTGGATGAGTGACGAAACGTTTCCGATGAACAGAATGAAGACCTTTATGGGATTTCCTTACCTGGATGATCGAGCATGCATCAAGACAATATTTTTCCACTTTTTTAAAAACACAATGTGTAGCACCTACTGTTGCTCTACATTTCAAACTGAGGTTTGCAATTGCCGTTTTAAAGAGTATATAAGCAGGCAGGTGCGGTGGCCATAGTTAGGTTTGGAAATAACTCCCGGAAACAGCAGTGCTGCACACTGAGGTCCTGCTTCAGGATCTCTGCTCGTAGCAGTGATTGGAGCCATGGGAATTACAACATGCTCACTGATCAGTAATGCAACAACAAGCACAACAACATTAACAAGTGCTGTATATAAAACACAATAATCCCCTTCAATTGCACAAAGTAATGATAATATTAGCGAGGATTGAAGAGTCAAATAGTTATTTACAAAAATGTAACAATTTATACGTTTTATTTCCACCAAATAAGTTCAACCAAAGTCATTTTATCTGTTTAACTCACATGTGTGTGCCTCATGATGAAATGAAAGTACACGGAGTACACGGAGTAAGGTGGTCTCAGTGGAGCACTGACGTACTCTAAGATCTGTAGCACTCACTCCAGCAGGATTTCGTGCACCAGTCAGGAGACAATAAATACGTGCACGACGCCCACCTCATCTGTCACAACATCTGTGCAGAATCCCGCGTGAAACGCGAGTTTCAGTGTAAGATTGAGAGATAACTATGAAATAAATGAAATTGTCGTCGTGTGTGGGAGTGCTTCGGCTCCAGAAAGCAGGAAGAAAACAGCGAGTCGCTGTCCCTTTAAAGCTGTCTCTCTCTATCACAAAGTCTATCTGCCATTTTTCTTTATTCTCAGTGTGTTTCAGTCAAACGCCACCAGGCCACTCAGCCGAACAACCTACAGCAAAACACGCAGGGCGGCCGTGGAAAAGCGGTCGCACTAGAGCGGAAATGGTGCCTGGATCGTTGTGTCTCTCAGCGGCACAATGGACAACATTTTCCTGCTCTGGTCCTCGCGGACTGGCGCCTGTCTGCGCGTGAAAGCCGCGAGGACAGGCGCAGATTCGAGCCGCAAAGCCGCGCGCCCGGAAGCACGAGCGACAGAAAACATGCACGTCCGTTACCTTTTAGCGGCACTTAACTTTCCGGGACACTTTGGGGGCGGTTTTGCACAGATATTCTGCCAGGACACTGCAGCTACTTTCCGCCAGTCGTGCTCAGGCTGCCTTGACAACGCTGAAAAGTACCAGGATGTGGGATGCTCGCTGTGTGTGTGTGTGTCTGTGTACATAGAGACAGTAGTGTGCAACGCCCCCTCCTTTCCACGCCACATCCATTCACTGGGTCGCATTAAAAGGATTTTACAAACCTGTCACGAGTCCCCCTGTCTGTCTGTCTGTCTCTTCCAAAGAGAGCCGAGTGGTGCCGGGACACGGAGGTCCCGCACAGCTGTTCCCTACTGGAATAGCTGCACAAAGGTCCATTGATTTATTGTCTTTTTCTACACATGACCCGAATTCATGTGCACACGCTTCAAGCAGGGATCCACTTTTCTACACAACGACCAAATGAGCATGAGGGAGGGGCTGACGGACAAACAACGTTAGGGCGCTGGGGGCCACGGCCCGGTTCCTTTAACGTGGATCCGGTTTGAAAAAACTACATTGACGTCACAGCAAGACTATAGCTAGGGACTGGATACATGAATTAAACGTGTGTAAATCTTTGCGATCCAAAGGTGTGAGTTCAGTAGCTGAAACATTCTTCATTTTAATAGCATTAACATGAGTTTAAGACTGTTTACGACTGAGGCCATCAAAGTTAGTGTATCAGAGGTTTCAGTCCGACTATGTCAACTCAGACAAGTTTACTAATCGAGAAGGAAGTCATGAACACATGTGCGTTTCGGTCTCTGCGCCGCTGAACATCTGCACAGATGTGTGTGACACATGAAAACAGCGCGCGCTGCCCCGGTACAAAGCAGGAGCTGCTGAGGGGCCCCGACTCACCGCCTCGTGGTTAACCGGCGCTCTGCCTTCATGTCGCGGCTGTGGGACGACAGCAGCAGCAGCAGCAGCTTACCGGTAATAGCGCCTGCTGCTCCCTCTGCCCCCCCGGGGTGGGTGTGCATCGTCGTAGCTGCTACTGTCTCTTTAAATTTACCCAGGAGCCCCTTAAGGAGCCCCAGGGGCCCCTAGTCCGGCTCCCCACCCTGAAGACAAGCAAGAGCCTAAAAATTCATGAGTAGAGGCCTGAGCCGAGGCGCCTCCACCGAGCACCGCGGAGCAGCGGCCCTTTTCGCCGGTGGATTTATGATTGTGTGCTTGCATGAAAAGTTAACTTGGCTCCCGCGTGGGGGGACCGCGGAGAGCACGGGCTCCTCGGCGGTGGGCTCGTTATAGAGCGCCTGGCAGATGCGTGTCGAACGCTGCGGAGCGGCGAGAACGTGTTGTTGTTGTCAGGGTGACATGCCCCACGACGGCGACACGACCCACTGAACGAAGCACCGCCAACCACGACTAAAGCGAGAGCAGCGATCCAGTGATGGAAGAGAAAGGAGCGGGGCAGGGGCAGCCCGTGAAGCTCCGCTGTGCCTATCAGCCGGAGCTGCTCTCATTAATGACAAGCGGGCAGGAGGAAACCACGCAGGAGGAGAGCGAGTTAGTAGGTAAAGAGCAAAAAAACACATCTAGTGTTAATTTTCTTGTTTTTGTTCCAACGCTAAGTGGGTCTGCGTGGCTGTCAGATACACAGCCATTATCAGGCAGCCAGTTAATCCGTGTCAGGGACAAAGCCATGGAGCAGCATGGCCCCTCCGTCTCTGTGGCTCCTATAAACAAAGGCTCAACTGCACGCAGGCAGCCAGGCGAAGCGCACACTGCTGACACCTAGTGGACAGCGGAGGTACAGGCCGTCTCAGACCTGTCATCGAGCGGAATAAACGCTGATCAGATAAAAAGGCAGGGTTATCCTTTCACGTGAGGTGCGAGCTGACCGCAGGAATGTCCGTAAGCAAGTTGTGCTTGATTACCAAATGACAGCAGCGTGACTTTCTCTGGAAGTTTAAAGCTCAAGCTGTGAGGAACTGAAAGGCTAGCCTGAAAGACATGCCTACCAATGTTAGACCTAACAGTTCAGTCACATGATATCTCTGCTGCTTTCTCTCATGTACTCGTTTGGGTTTTTGTAAAAATTGGATAATTTAAGCACACTATTTAAATGTTACCCATCCTCAGTGAGATAGAAATAGACCTGTGTGGACAGCCTTTACCTTCATAACGTCATATAATTGGGAACTAGAGTGTTTTGCTCCAAGCCTGCTGATGTTCAGGTGTATATAGTTTTTATTGGTCTCTGTCAGCTACAGGGATTTGTTTTTGAGTGAGCCAGTGCAACGCATGGAGTCAGACTACTGATTATTTGTTGGACGTGTGTAGAGCTGGGCGATATGAGATTTTTTCATATCACGATATGTTTTTTTCATTTCAGGCGATAACGATATCTATCACGATATAAGCCAAATAACTATATTTGTAAGATTTAAATGTGCCGTTGCTCACAAGTAAAATGTGAAATAATCAGCAGCTTGTTTTTATTTAAATATTTATTTCCCATAATAAGTTCAACAGGGTAGATGTACTTAAGGAACATGAGACCTTTTCAGATAAATAAAGGCAAATATTGCAAACTACACAAAAGGCAGCCGCTAAAGCGTTTAAGTTTCAAAATAGAACAAATGAAACAGACTAAATTGTCAGTTCCACTTAGAAACAAAATATTAATTCTAAAAATAAATCTTAGTTTGTTTTACAGAAGAACAGACAAAACTGACTAACTTTTGTCAATATCAAATAAACTGAGAACTAAAAGGAAATTCTCAATCTCTCCTTGTTGTATAGCTTAGCTTTTCAAACAGTTTTAACAGTTACTTTAGTCTGACAAAAGCCGAATGACGAATTAGCGCTTCCAGTCAGAGACTGAGGCTACGTCCACACGTACACGGGTATTTTTGAAAACTGAGATTTTCCGTTTTCGTTTTAAAAAAAAATCCCGTCCACACATAAAGGCAGAAATGAAGGAAAACGCTGCTATGAACATGCCAAAGCAGCAGGTGGCGCTAGATTCCTAACCGTGCAGAAATGTTGGCCAATCAGAAGTCTAGAAGCCTCGGTGGGAAAAAGTAAACAAAGCTGGGGCATAGAAGCAGTATATGTAAGCATTTAAACACTGCAGAGAGTAGAATTAACAGTAACAGTATAGTAGAAATTCATTTCACCGAAACAATAACGTGGCGCACAGTGTGACGCATGCACCAGTTTATTGTATTTCCAGACTTGCTTTCGGCACATTTACAGTGCACGCTACTCTGTTTTTTGTCAGACTTGAAATAGCCGAAATACCTTCACCCTACGGAACTTCTATGGCTCTTCCGTTCGACAATCTCTCCGGCATTGGAACCATCATCTGTTTTCTCTTCGGTCACGCTCGGTTGATTTTTCTAGTCGGCGCACTCATTTCCTCCATTACCCGCTGGCTGCTTCCCAAACAAACACACGTGCGGCTTGGCACTTGTGCTGTACGTAACAAGTCACGCGACGTGACGCTGCGGCTGTGATTGGTTCGGCTCTGCGTTACTTAATTTGGATTGGCTGACCTTTTTTTTTTTTTTTTTTTTTTGAGGACAAGAGCGGCGAGGTCTATCGCGATAGCTTAATTTCTCTATCGAGTAAAAGTTATATCGCGATACATATCGTTATCGTTCTATCGCCCAGCTCTAGACGTGTGATTATTATTGAGTGTGCAGTCTGAAAGAGAGACTGCAAAGTCGTGCTATGGGAGAACGTAACTAGGCAGCATCATATGCTAGTCTATAGGGTGACTTTAAGTTTTATTTATTTATATAGCACATTTTAAAACAACAGGGTTGATCAAAGTGCTTAACAATCGGCAAAAATCCAGTGAGACACTAAAAGGCAATGCAAGGGAAAAAATGAAGAGGAGGAAGCCAGTGAACGTAGAGCCAAGGATTGAATGGTGGGAGGTGAAGAAGTCTAAAAGAAGATTTTTGACCAGATGATTTAACACAATCTTGGAGAATGAGAGGATGAGGACTGAGACGGCTGGTGTTGTGAGTTGGTGCTATATTAGTTGACTTGAGGAATAGAGAAGTGTGCTCCTCAATTTAATTTTGAATATAAATGAAAATTGAAATTAAATTTAGCAGCAGCTTCAACAATTTGATGGGGTATTCACTCTGACGGGCAGGCGGGCCATGTAGACACCCAAGTTTGTGCGTGCAGTAACTCAAGAACAAAGTGGTGTGGGAGCTTCAAATTGATGCCATGGGTATCAGATAGGTGGCCTCACGATGCTTTGGTACACAGGAGCTGTACACACTGTAAGATGCTCAGGTAGCTGCAGAACAAGCACAAGTGATCAGCCCCCCCCCCGCACTGACAGCTGGTGTGAAGTCTTTTTGCTGCGCTGCTGTGTTTGGTTTGTTCTTCACATTATGGGGAAACATCTCCACTTTGAGCTTATCTGACTAATCAACATTATTTCAGAAGTCTTGGTTTGTTCAGATGCAGCTTTACAAACCCAATGGCACCATGTTCTTTACGCAAGAAGAGCCTCTCTCCTGCTAACTGAGGCCCGAAGGGCTGCATGATCTGAACCTGAGCTGAATTTACTGGGACATCCTGCAAAGATTGTAGCATTGTGTTAACACACACCTGAATCAGCAGCCTGCCAAACACTTCTGCTTTTACAGATGATGCTCATCTGTAAACTGAACTGTATTTTTCATGCGTTAGCCACTTGCGGCCCACATCACCCCTACTTCTACATGGACGTGAAGAAATCGAAGGCAATTTGGCCCTCGAAGTGACTTTTTTGTTAGGGAGGATTTGTTTGTTGCTAAGTGCAATGTTCAAATACGTTCTTTAAAAAGCAAAAACTGATTTAATATGAAGGCCACATGAGCAGAGAGCATGTCGGATTGGCTGATGTGTCACTTTGATTTTGTTAAATACGAACAAAATTGCGTTTATGTCAAGTTTTGTCTTGTTATACAATATTTTAAATTTTGTGCTTGTTTTGTGGCCTCACATGAGATGACAGTGGCAGCAGTGGCCCACAGCTTAAGTCTGAGATCTCTGCTTTAGCAACATGAAGACACTGCTTCAGTTTGAAACCTGCTGCTCTGATCTGTACTCTGTCTTGTTCTTGTCTGAAGAAGACGGTCTTGCCAATGGCCATGGAGAGGTGGAATCAGAGAGCGGTGTGGTCACGCCTGTCAGGTCACCAAGCACCAGCTACTGGAGCATCACAGAGAGCCCAGATCACCCCCTCCTCCTCTCCCTGGCCCCGGGGCCCTCTGGAGCCAAACCCAGGGTGCAGAGAGCCTCGCGTCCAGGCCTGAGCCGGATTCCAGGCCGTGACCACCGCCGGTACTACCACGAGTACTGGCGCAGCGAGTACCTGATGGACTTTGACCCCCAGAGGCACGGCATGATCTGCAT